TAAGGTGGAACCCACCTTGATAACAAACAGAGTTTTTCCAGTTGGCCTCCATTGTCTGAAAGGGCAATCTTGTCTTTGGCATTCTCAGAACATGTCCTAGATATCTCCATCGTCTCCTTTTTATAGTTCTGTTGATATCGTCAATTAAAATTCTTTCCAACTCTTCATTATTTGTTATAATTCATTCCGTTTTATTTGCAAAATTCTTCGAAAACATTTCTGTTTGAAAACTTAAATTTTTGTTGAATTGTTTTGTTGTTGTTTGTTGTGTTCCATATCTCTGAGCCATACGTCGTAATGGCCAAAACGGTGCTATGTGTATTTTCGATAAATGAATGAATGATCTTTGACTTTCGCTTCCTTGTGGTTTTTAATCTTACAAAAGCGACCCAGGCTTTTTAAAAGTCTTTGGTGGACGTCGTCACTGCAGTCTGCACTTTTGGAGATAATGCTGCCAAGGTACTGGAACTTAATCATTTCTGCCAGGGGTTCTCCATAAAGAGTGATTGGCGTAGTTTCTGATGATAGTCTTAGTACTTTTGTTTTGGATACATTAATTAGAATGCCAACCCTTTCCGCAGATTTGTAATTCATTTGTTTGGGATTTTTCATTGCATTTCTTGAACTGTGATGTTTAATAGGCAGATGTCATTCGCAAAATCTAAATCTAAATATGTGTCATTTATCCATCAATTGCATGTTTCTATGTATTGACTATATTTCATTACAAAATCGATGGAAATTCCTAAAAGTACAGGTGATAATATACAGCCTTGTCTAACACCAGTGTTTACTCCAAAGGTGTAGATAGTTCTACTTCAACTAGGACACGGCAGCTTACATTGGCGGATGATCATCCTATACCGTTTCCTATTGTTGTTGGGATGACATAAATTTCATGTAGAAAAAAATAACAACAATTAAATAAATAACACATCTATAATTTGTTTTTAAGAAGTGAATGTATTGTGGCGACACAATGCAGTCTTGCTTTTCAATTTCTTTAAGACTTGATATTACGATCATTTATAACAATGTCTGGCAGATTCAAACTGTCCTTGTCTCTTCCTAGTGATATCAAACTATAACAACTAGTTGTTTCCCCATCATCTGGATCCTTGGACTACCACGGCTGGTGCTGTGTAAAGAGAGTCACATTACCTCTGTCGAGAGGGAGCGTTTTCGATATATTAGTCTTGTCAGATTGTTACATTTCTTACATGAAAGTTTTAGGCTATGGGCTACTGGGAGTGAACCTCCCCCCCCCCCCCCCCCCCTGGGGATTTTTCGCCACTATGATTTTCTGAAAGGGTAGGACCTAGGGACTTCCCCCAAAAAAGTTTGCACCAAAATGTTGGCAATCTACAGAGTTACTGCCCTTGATTGTCCAGAAATCAAGAAAATACTTGATTTTTATTTTGGGGTTTTCTGTGAAGCCAAAAGTGTGTTCTTTCATGTGACGTAAAATTCAATGTTATACGATGATGTAAGTGTTGTAAAAATATTTTAAAATAAAATTCAAAGGCTGATTTCTCAAAATCTACAGAAATGATAGTTCCATTGCTTCAAATCTTCTATAACCCGGTACAATAGGTTTCTGATAGACACACACTTTGAGGCACAAAATGAGAAGTATTTTATACAAAATAACTAGAAATCTATGAGTTAAACAGTTATAACCTTTGCAATTGCTATATTAGAAAGCAAAACTGCGTATATCATTTTAAAAACGTGGGCAAATCTATAGGCGTCATATGTACTTTGTCTATTCTATATAGTCTAAACCAGTCATATGGGCATGATAAAGGTGTGTTAAAAAACATTTTGTTAGTTTGAACTAACTTAAAAGAAGACAGAAGTAAAAATTTGAAGTCTGGTTTCTCTAACAACGTACAATTTTCGTTATATGTTTCAGAGAATGAATTATTGAATTAAACGTACAAAATCAAGCATGGCAGAACTGAAATCAGTACCCCTGACATTAAAGAAAGAGAGGTCAAAATCTCAAAAGAAAGAAAAACAACTTGAAGAAAGGACATGTGTAGTACATAACTGTAACTTCAAAGGCCATGATGAAATAAAACCCCTCAGTGAGAGACGCTGGGACACCATTCAAAAATCAAAAACACAACGGTGTCTTGCAGAAACTGACAGTGATCGACTATCCTCTATTTGTGAAAGAATACCGACTGAGTTTGACTCTGCTCAACATGGGTTTCATGATTACTGCTACAATACATTCATCAATTTGAGGAGTCTAAGAAAAAGGCATTCATCGGGAGATTCTGACAAATCAGCACAAGAAGGGTCTTGCTCCACTAGGAAAAAGGTAAAGCAATCGTTTTCAACACGCCTCTTGCCTATTCAATGCCTTTTCTGTGAAAAGACTACCAAATGGGCTCGTGACAGCAAGGGAACCAAGAAAGTTCATAAACTTGTCAAATGTGTTACCAGAACAGCTGAGGCCTCTATAAAAGAAGCTGTAAACACGAAATCTGACTCAAAACTTCGGGGCCAAATTGAAAATGTTGATCTCATTGCCCAAGAGGCATGGTATCATGAACCATGTAGAAAAGCTTACACACGTAATGAGAGTCGACGGCTTACACACATAAGGAGGGTCGACGTTCACAAGTTTCTACATCTAACTACTGTTCGGAAAAAGAAAAGGCAGTAGCTGAAGAAAGAAAGAAATCTCCAGCTGCAGAGGAAGAAGCCCACTCCAAGGCTTTTCAGCACGTCCGTCAGTTTGTGGAAGAATATGTCATTGCGCTGGCCCTTGTTGTCAGGATTACTCTTTTGAAAGAGATGTATTGCACTTTCATGCAAACAAATTATCCAGAGTTTTACAACAAGAACTACAAGACATGTTAAGTTGAAGTACAAACTTGTGAAGCACTTCCAGTCCAGGATAAACTTCTGGCAGAGATATTCTGGGACAAGTGATCTCGTGTACTCAGACGAAATTCCAACTGGACAGGTTGTTGGAGTTGCCGTTGAAAATGCAACCTCTGAAGAGAGACTTGTTATAGAAGCGGCAATGGTGATACGACGAGCAGTGCTTGGTGGATGTAATGAAAGTCAAAAGTTACCTTGGCTACCAACAGACACAGATCTGCGCTCAGAAACTTTGCAGATACCACAACTATTAACAACATTTCTTTCCTTTCTTTACTCCAAGAACGGAAAACCAC